TTCCAGTCATCTTTTCACAAGTGCTGAAAGAAGATGAATGGCAAAAGCATGATACCATGTACTCTGACTTCCTTTTTCGCATATCATAACTTTTTTTTTTTTTTGCATATCATAACTTTTTTTTTTGCTATCTTAAGTTCTTTTATGTTCCATGATACACACTATTGTGAACTTATTTTTAAAGTGTAATTTTAATTATATTAAACTGTTTTTACATTTTCTTGTATTAAAAACAGAAAGATGCATTGCTGTAAAAAAAATGCTGACAGAGGTATAATAAAAATCATCCCATATGACAGTAAACTTTTTAAAATTGGATTTAAAAAGAACAGTCATCACTTTTCGAAGTAATTTTAGGCAGTTTGATGGAATTTCAGTGGTAAATTCTGTGCTGAGTATTCAATGTTTAAAAACTACTAGAAGGTGAGAAGAAATGCGTACACTTCATAAGAAGCCAGTTCTTTGATGATGTGAGAATAGCAAATACTTGAAATTGATCGTTTTATCAAAGATATCACCAAGTTTTCCGTTGATTTTGCCTTATTTGTTTCAAAAGGTACAGCCTGCTTCATATCTATAGCTGCAAGTTATTTTGTCTTCTTCATCAGCTGGAGTTAGTTTTCTGGGTTTGTGTGAAGATTTAATCAGAGGCAGGCCTTACTTTCTATGGAAGAGCAAAGAACAGGTTTTCTATAACCGATTAGAGAAGATGTTTACTTAAGATACACTGGAACCTGAGTATAGTTTAAGTATAAAATATTAAAATTTATTTAAGAAATTAATTCCTTAAGGCTTGATGGTATAGGGAAGAAGGTAAGGGCTTGGGAATCCAGTGTCTTAAATTATATAGTCTTTTACTATCATAACTACTCCCTATGTGTTCCATGATACACACCATTATAAACTTAAAGTTTACACATTGGTAATATTTAACATATCTAGATAGGGATAAGAATACATACTTGCCATTGCTAGTCACAGGAATGTTCTAAAGATCAAATGGGCTATGTCTGATAGTACTTTGAATAATACACAAGGCTACACAGGTACAAGTCCTTCTGAATTATTAGTGAAACTACCTAAGTGAATTCATGTATTTTGCATTACTGCTTTCACAGAGCATTGAAAGAGTACTGAAGAGAAGGACCTCTGTGCTTTTTTAAGAACCTGCTTATTTTCCAAATCTATTGCCCGTTATAAGAAATTGTAAATTTACCATTAAAAATTCACAAAATCTACTGAGTTTTTTGTTTTTGTTTTTTGAGACAGAGTCTTGCTCTGTTGCTCAAGCTAGAGTGCAGTGGTGTCATTATAGCTCACAGCAACCTCAAGCTCCTGGGCTCAAGTGATCCTCCTGCCTCAGCCTTCTGAGTAGCTGAGACCACAGGCACGTGTCACCAGGCCCGGCTAATTTTTCTATTTTTTGTAGAGAACGGAGTCACACTCTTATTCAGGCTTGTCTCAAACTCCAGGCCTCAAGTGATCTTCTGCTGTGGCTTCTCAAAGTGCTAAGATTATAGGCATGAGCTGCCACTCCCAACCTCCAGTTTTATTTTTATCACAAGAGTAGTTTACAAGTACAGATAAAATGTCCTCAGTTCTTTTTCCCATTGTCTAAGTGAACGAGTATCTAATATGTTTTAAAGTATATTTCGAGAAACCCCTGGGAATCCTCAAGACCCTTTGAGGGGGGTCTGTGATGTCCTCCCATTTCCACCGTCACGTTTGTGTGAAGCCAGATTCCATGTATTTCAACAAAAACAATATTTTACAACAAGTTGAATATAGAGACAGATATGAAACCAAGCTCTCTTCTGCGAAGCCATATTCCATTGTCAAAATTTAGAAGGCGATTTACAAAATCTAAAATAGTACCACTTTTCCTCACTAAAAATTTTGGTTTTTTGGGAAAAGAGTTATTTTCTAAAACTAGAACTACCATGTGATCCTGCAGTCCCATTGCTGGGTATATATCCAAAGGAAAGAAAATCAGTATGTCAAAGGGATATCTGTACTCCTATGTTTATTCAGCACTGTTCACAATAGCCAAGATATGGAATCAACCTAAGTGCACATCAGCGGTGAATGGATAAAGAAAATGTGGTATATATACACAATGGAATACTATTCAGCCATTAATAAAAACCATGAAATCCTGTCATTTGTGTTAATGTGAATGGAACTGGAGAGGACATTATGTTAAATTAAATAAATCAGTCACAGAAAGATAAATACTACATGTTCTCATTCATATGTGGAAGCTTAAAAAGTTGATCTCATAGAAGCAGAGAGTGGAATAGTGGTTACTGGAGTGTGAGAAGGGGAGGGAGGAGGAAGGGATAGAGAGAGGTTGGTTAATGAATAAAAAACCACAGCTGGATAGAAAGAATAGGTTCTAGTGTTCTATAGCACAGTACTATGACTATAGTAAATAACAATTTATTGTATTTTTTTTAAATAGCTAGAAGAGAGGACTTTGAATGTTACCAGCACAAAGAAATGGTAAAGGTTTGAGGTGATGGATACACTGATTACCCTGATTTGATCATTACACATTGTATATATGTATTGAAATATCACACTGTACCCTATGGATATGTACAATTATTATGTGTAAATTAAAATATATGTATGTATTTTAAAAGAGTTATTTTTCATTAAAAATGTGATGTATGTTGACATGTAATAGGTGCTGGTTCATACGAAGAAATTATAATGCTACACAGATTTGGATCACATGTGAAGATGCCAATTTGTTAACAAATTGACCCTTAGGGTTTTGTCTTGGGACACAAAACTAAGATACTTTGACATGATAGCATTTCCTTTTTACTTCTAGTTGTACAATTTGCTTTTTAGCACTCTCTTTCAATTCTGTTTATGCTTTTTCCCCTTCTTTTTCAGGTTTGTTTAAGCATCTTAAATACGTGGCATGGAAGACCAGAAGAGAAGTGGAATCCTCAGACCTCAAGCTTTTTGCAAGTAAACAAAAATTCTCTTGACAGTTTCACTTAGAGAATAAAGAACTATGGATTTTTTAAAAAGATTATTTAGTGACCAAGAATAAATATAGTAAACCCAGAAAAAGGTAGTTTGGTTGGAAATACATATTAAATAGCTTATAAGTGAGACATCAGTATAGTGGAGTCTAATGTTATCTAGAGTTTAAAATCTCCAGTTAGGACATAAGACAAAAATTGAGTTTTGTCAAAATTCCCTCTAAAACATTCCTAAGTTGCTCTTAAAATACATTATGGTGCAGCTAGGTAAGACAGATAGGTCTCTCCCATTTTTCAGTTCAAACTATAGGGCTTAAACTTATGTGAGTAGACTTTAATACTCTATCATATTTCTTCAAATATGATATGGTTCTTCTATAATAGTTAATAATTTAACTTATCTGAGGCTCAAAAGTACTGTCCTGAAACTTATAAAACTCAGGATTTGTAGTTCTTATTTTGCACAGCATTCGATGTACAGATTTCATAATGTTGAATTTTGTAAGTTATTTCCACAAATCACTTGAACATATAGTATATGTTACATAATATCTCATCAAACATTTTTTGCTGGTACTTTATCTTAATAGTTCAGGATCCCAGCAAACAGGTGGACAAGTACGCATATTGATAATATGAATTAACTTTGTTGTTTATTTATTTAGGAAGCAGAAGCAATCACTGATGCTACATAATATTTTTCTTACATGTAATGTGTATACACTCACATTTACAGTTTAGTGTTTAAGAAAAAGCATCGTAAATTATCCCCAGTTAAGCCTATTAAAGTTGACCTACCCTGAAAAGATTCTTTTCCTACATTCTTATTTTGCATTAGGTGAAAGAAGATGTGAAAAATAATACTTTAGGGTGTTACCTTTTTTGACTCTCTGAGAAGACCTTGCATTATCTTTAAATTAAATAGTGTTACAATATTTTCCTTTTTGCTAATATGGAGACCAAGAAAAAAAGAGGTTACATGATTTATGCAAAGTAACTAAGGAAGTTACTAGAATATTCCTGTAAGCTATTCTTCACTTTAGAAATGAATAAGTCAGTTTCAGTCCAAAAACTTTACAATATTTTTCTGCATGTGTGCTACTCCTGTCGACATAAACTAAGCTTATGATGAATTTAACTATGAAAGGAAACTCAGAGATGTTCTGCTTTTAATGAAGTTAATTACTTACGTGAGAATCGAATTCAATTTTTGAATTTTATGCTGAATTTATATAGTTTTTAAATAAATTTACAATTAATTTTCAAGCTTATAAGATTTGATTTGCTTTTCAGCTTTCATATTGCCTGTGTATTCAATATACTATATACCAAAAAATAAACTTATCCTCAAGGTAATTTAAAATTTGGAAACTTGCTACCCATGCATTTAAAAATGATGTTTTCTATATATTCCCTTTAGGGTTTTTTTGTCATATGCATAGTTCACATAGTCATAATCAACATAGTAGTAAATTATTTGTATGCTTCTCTGTTTACTTAACATTAGAGCATATCCATTTTTCTAAATTACATTCTTACAATTTCTAATTGCTATGTAATCTTTTGTATATATGATATAATTCAACTGTTTTCCCACTATTGACTAAGTATTTCACTTCTAAATTTTTTTTGTTTATAATAATACTGTTATTTATATGACTTTTGCTGTATTTCAAATAGTTTCCTGAATCTATATTTCCAAATCTGTGACAAAATCGACTTGGGCAGGGGAGACTGTATCTTTCAGTGGCAAGAGTGTATATCTTTGTTATCTTCCAGATCTTAGGGGGCAAACTTTCAGTCTTTCCCCATTCAGTATCATGTTAGGTGTGGGTTTTTTGTAATTCCCTTCATTGTGTTGAGGAAGTTTTCTACCCCTAGTCTGTTGAGTGTTTTTTATCATAAAAGTTTGTTTACTTTTTGTCGAATGCTTGGAATGATCATGTGATTTTTTAAAAAGAATTCTTTTAATATGATGTATTATAGTCATCACGTATTACAGTGCATCAAGTTGCTTTGGTAAATGATAGACTGCATATACGACAGTGGTCCCATAAGATTATAATACCATATCTTTACCTTTTCTATGTTTAGACACACTTACAGTTGTGTTACAGTTGTCTACAGTATTCAGCCCAGTAACAGGGTATACAGGTTTGCAGCCAAGAAGCAATAGGCTAAACCATATGTCCTAAGTCTAGATTTGTGTGAGTACACTGGTATGGTGTTTGCATGATGACGAAAGTGCCTCACGATGCATTTCTCAGAACATATCCTTGTTAAGTGATGCATGACTGTACATTAATTGATTTTCAGATGTTAAACTAATCTTGCATTCCTAGGGTACATTCTGTTTGGTCATGGCGTATTAATTCTTTATATTTGCTGCTAGATTGAGTTTCTTAGTATTTTGAGGATTTTTACATCCATATCCATAAGATAAATTGGTCTATAGTTTTCTTGTATTTTATTAACATTATACCAGAAATAAATGCCAGTAGGCAGAAACATATTGCTTTGTTTTATTTTATTTGGAACTTTTTCTCTACAGCCAGACTCAAAAGCCTCAGAATAAATTATTTAATTTCTTTATAATTAGACTTTGGTACCCAACATTGTACTCGATACTTTTATTTATCATATATGTACAAAGGGGAAAGATTCTTTTGCCACATTGAGACTCTTCCAAATTTTTTTTAAAGTTATATACAATTTAAAAGATCTCCAAAAAATTTTAGATAGTTACCAGCATTATTATAATAATGGCTTAGCTTTTTTCAGTGAGATCCCTAAAAGAATATTTGTTGGTATAAAAATAATCATATTTTTTAATCTTATACCATAGTTGTCATATCTAGCACCAAACGCATAACAATCTTGACTATTTGCATAATTTAAACTCAAAAACCATATTATTCATTAGAATTGTCATCAAGAATGATTATATTTTATCAGCACCAAGTTTAATATTGTTTATGTCACTAGTTTTTATTTTGTTGTGTTTTTTTTTTGTCATTGTTGTTTTTTAGATAGTGTCTTGTTCTGTTGCCCAGGTTAGAGTGCAGTGGCGTCATCATAACTCACTGCAACTTCAGAGTCTTTGGCTGAAGTGATCTTTCTGCTTCAGTTTCCCAAGCAGCTGGGATTGCAAGCACGGACCACCACGCCCAGCTAATTTCTGTTTTTTGTAGAGACAAAGTCTTCTCTGTGTTGCTCAGGCTGGTCTCCAACTCCTGGCCTAAAACAATCCTCCCACCTCAGACTCCCAAAGTGCTGGGATTGTAGGTGTGAGCTGCCGTGCCTGGCCATTAAAAAACATTTTATTATAAACATTTCAAACATAAGAAAGTACAGAGTATACAATCCAAAATGTTAATTTGCAATGAGAAACTATTTTATATGAAATAATAACATCTTTGGAGTAAGGGAGAGAAGCACTTGAATTAGTAAAATGCTTTTCACCATTTCAAAATGGTAATGACCTACTTCAGTGGGAAACTGTGCTACTGAGTAGCACTGTAATCACAAGCTGATTTCATTTCATTTTAAGAAAAACAGTAGCCCATGTTAACACTTTTGGCCATTTATGAATGATTGATTACATGAACCATTAAATGCGTTTAAATTTTCTCGCATACACAGACAAGCATCTGTATTAACGTGTAGTTGGAACAAACTATTCACAAGGAATTAATAGGCACTTTAGATGTCTACTGTGTCTGAGGTGGGAGGATTATTTGAGCCCAGGAGTTCCAGGCTGCTGTGAGCTATGATGGCAGGACTGTACTCCAACCTGGGCAATAGAGCAAGACCCGCCCTGTCTCTGGAATAAAAAAAATAACTGCTGTGTATTAAACACTTATGAACACTACTAACTTTATTTTTTAAAAGGCTTATTCTCTCAGTCATCCTATAACACAAGCAGGTGTTATCCCCATTTTACAGATGATGAAAAAATAGGTTCTAAGGGTATAGATTACTTTTTCTCTTGTGAATTCTCTGACTTCAAATATTATACACTGTTTTTCAGGGATAGATAAATTTGTGTTTTTTTAAAGAATACTGAAAATCAAATTCTTTTAAAAAAAGGAAATCCTTCATCCTGAGGATTTACTGTTTATTTCATGCCCAGTGTTTTATGGGCTACAATAAAGTTTTCTGCAAAATAAAGTGACTCTATCCAGTTCAGACAATCCAAATGTCCAGAAATTATGTAAAATGAATATTAAAACTTTTTTTTTTTGAGACAATGTCTTGGTCTGTCACCCAGGCTGGAGTGCAGTGGCCCAGTCATAGCTCACTGTAAGCTTGAACTCCTGGGCTCAAGTGAACCTCCCATGTCACCCTCCCAAGTAGCTAAGACCATAGGCACACTCCAGCATGCCTGGCTAATTATTTTTTAATTTTTTATAGAGATGACGTCTCACTGTGTTGCCCAGGCTGGTCTCAAACTCTTGGCCTTCCCACCTCAGCCTCCCAAAGTGCTGGGATTACAAGCATGAGCCACCACACCTAGCTGAATATTATAACTCTTAAACAGCTGAGTTCAGTGCAGCAGTATAAAGTGTCATTTATATACTTCCAGAAAGGTAAATTTAAAAAAATTAAATATTAGCCGGGTGTGGTGGTGTGTGCCTGTAGTCCCAGCTACTCGGGAAGCTGAAGCAGTAGCATCGCTTGAGCCCAGGAGTTCGAGGTTGCAGTGAGCAATGATGACACCACTATACTCTAGCCCCGGCAAGAAAGTGAGACCCTGCCTCTGAATGAATGAATGAATGAATAAATGATAATGACCACTATGTCACCCAGGAATAAGAGAACTCATGCCATAAAAGTATTCTTTTAATTTAATTCTAGTAAAAATGGGTCTCTGGTAATCTTTCTTTGTCCTTGTTATCAAGTACAAACTTTATAATACAGTGTATTTCTTTTTTCTCTTAGCAAACAATAAGTTATACCCAAATTTATTTCTCAATTTATTTCTTTTTTCCGATACATAAAGTATCCATTCTTTATACTTCCTTTAGTGGACTTTTTTTTTTTTTTTAAACCAAATAGGCTTATGAATCTGAAGTAATTTTT